CATTTTTTACCTGGATTTTAAAAAAATCCGAAAAATTTATCTCCAAGTGAAAACCGATATCGCTGCTGCTTGATATCAGGTTGTCCGCAAGGCCAAAGCTCATATTTTACCTGAAGTTGAAAAAGTCCTACAAATGTAGGGGTAGTGGTTAATTTTAAATATTACCACGTAGGATTCTACCATATAAATATGAGCATCTTAAATTTTCTTCATGCTATGTTTCCAGTTTTTTCCGATGCATTCGGCAACCTTTCAGAATAATAAAATGCAGTTTTCTTATCGTTATTCTAGTGCACATGATAATTCACCTGGTTTTTATTTGAAACTCCTAAGTGCAGGGAAAGTCTATAAAAGTTTAAAAAACTAACATTTTTTTCACCTATTTTTGAGCTTTTTCCGCATTTGATGCTTATAACTTTTGAACGTTTTATCATAGGATTTTGATGCTTTCGAATGAAATATTCTAAATCAAAAGATCTATACGCTAAGCTAACAGTATCCAATGAGGGATTCAAAAATCCTTAAAAATCGATCAAGTGATTAATGGACGCACCCTTAGAGACAAATAATCTGAAATATTATTGGACCAGACCAGGTATTTTCACTTGAAATCGTACTAGGATCTTTATGTCCAAGTGAAAACTGACATCGCTACTGCTTGATATTAGGTTGTCCGAGGTGCGCAAAGAATCTGTAATTATGTCGATGTCTAAACAAGCCTTAAAGAGAACTCATGGAGAACTTATTTGAGTAGATTTGTTTTTTATGATACACTTCTGTTTATTGCATTATCTATCGTTGATAAAATATTACTAGTAACTTTATCTTATATTAATAATGTATGAAAATACTCCTATGTGAGTTTTGTACAAATAACAATTTTATTAAAACACTGCATCGTCCCTCTTCAGCACCATTTTGCCTAGGCTTATCATATTTTTGGCCACGTGTCCGTAAAAAAATTAATAAAAATGAATTAAAAGGATTAACTTATTTGAATAGATCTCATGGAGGATTATTCATATGAACATTTTACACGTTAGATCTAATTTTTATTTAAATTGTGTTTTTCATCGAATTTTCCGCAAATAGAGCAGATTTAGAAATAGCATCAAAAATCTTTTTTTGAACTTGAACTTTTGTGAATGCTTTTTTCATCAGCACCACATTTTTGTTGTGCACTTCTTCTTGATATTATCGACTTTACGATCATAATAAGCATACTGGAAATATGTTTGAATTACATGTTATTACAAAGAATCTTTTTTTAAATGATAAAAACGCACTAAAAGGCCTATCTAATAAGTAATGAATGCTCCGAAAGGCTATTTTTACTTGAAATCATATTTGAGATTTGTAATCTTAAGTGAATATCTAACTATTGCTTGTAGGTTCCAGCTCCTATTTCCGATATCAAGCAGTAGTGACACCAGTTTTTGAAGTAAAACTTCTTTAGGCGCGAGTAGGGTGTAAATCCGTACAAATGCAACGGAAGTGCGTTACGGCAGATAAGATAAGATGAGAGTCGAATGTCAATGATTCGTCATTCGCTCTCGATGATATCATTTCTATACGGGTCGATTGTGATTAGTCGTAGCGGATGTGAATACAAATCTGTCGTTGTATGCGTACCGGCATCAACGTTGTACGCGTACCGATATCAACAAGGAAATCGGAATTGATAAATAAACATTTTAAAGTTACATCGTAGTACTAATCTTGATTTAATGAAAAATGCCTGAATCAGAAGAATATTTTACCCTGTCCCTCGTAAATAATTGAAATGAAAATAATAAAACAAATGCAGCATTTGCGCTGTGTATGAAACATAAGTTTATTAAAATAATTTCTATATTATTCGTAGTTTCTATAAATTTTTGAAGTTATTAAAATAGAAAATATTTTTTAGGCAAGACAGATATTACAGCTCTTCACGAATGAGATTATAGCGCCAGCGAAAAAGTAAGAAAAATACAAGCAGTCAATGAATGTATGTTAACACGAAGTTCTTCAAACACAATTATTACATAATGAGTGAAATTGTGAAAATAATATTTCATTAGGCGTTGTTTAACATAATCCACTATGTAAACTACCATTATAGAATTTATAATCTTTAGAATATTTAGATTTATTATTAGATTTCGAATATTTAGAATTATAAATCAGCTATTACTTCATTTCTCTAATAAAGGTACAAGTGCTAAATCATAATATCATACATATCAAAAATGCTATCCAAATGTTTATAAGAATCAGTTGGGCAGTATTTTACTACTTGTATCATTCGTGTTCTACATTAAATCAAATATTCAAGATTCAGTGATGTAGTTTTTTACAGTAATGATAGTACAAAAATAAAAAGTCAAGATGAGTTTTATCTTATAGTAGATTTTAAAATTGGTCATTAGGATTTCTTCTAATTCTTGTTGTATGGGTTTGACCTAATAACTTCCTTGCTAGGCTCCTAGGATGTTCAATCAAATGGTTTTCCTTCTCCTGACTTTGCCTGGTACTTTTAGTCATTTCCGATGGAACTTTTATATTATTTCGTTGAAAAATATAATAATCGTTTCGGTGTCGACTAATATAATAATCGTTTCGGTGTCGACTGTCGACGTGGTTTGAGGATTTCTGGTGGTACTTTCATTTATTTCGTTAAAATAATATAATACTCGTGTCGGTGCCGACGTGGTTTAAGGATTTCTAATGAAACTTTTATATTATTCCGTTGAAATAATATAATAATCGTTTCGGTGTCGACTGTCGACGTGGTTTAAGCCAAGCCTCACGTTAGTCAGTGAGATAAGGTGTAAACAATTTTCATATCGTAGGTACGGTGTTTGCTCACCTTATCGCTTTTTACGGCCTCCAAACAAACGCATATGTCTTTGTTGACACAGAGTCATATCATACAGCATATATAAGTTGAACTACATCAAAATGTGTGGATTCTAATTTGATACACCAATTAAATATTTGGAAATTGCACTTTTGGAAAATTATTAGATTATTAGAGGCTATGAACTTTAGGGTGTCCGAGTTTGATACCAGTTTCGGACAGTTTCTACTTGGAAATATGGATAGCAATATGCATCCAAGTGAAAATAGCCCTTATCCAGTATTAATGCTCCAATAAAAATATTCGCACTAGTACAGAAATTGTAATAATAATATATCATACAGAGATGGGACAACTGTTTGGGTTGCCTTCTGTAGAACAGACTATTAGTTTATTAATAGTATTAAGGCAAATTAGCACAACAGCTTTTAGAACAATTAAGCTCTCTAATTCTAAAAAGAAAGAGTGCGCGTAAGGTTGACACGCAATTGAAGTAAAACTTATTTGCTACTGTAGAAGATGACATTTAAGTAACAATAAATACGTCATATAACATTTTTGAATAATGTTTATTAGTAATATGGTAACACTCGTGATGCACACATTTATTAGTGTCAACCATTATACACATTTAAATAAAATTATAAATTATATATTTATAATAGCATTAAAAATATTTTTAATATTTAAAAACAACAATGTAATTAAAGTCATACTTCAAATATGACATGATCGGTTTGTCATTGTAATTATCATTTAGGAGTTGGACCTTCATTAAAGAAATGAAGTAATTGCTGATTAATAAATTCTATAATATTCGTTCACACAGTGGATTATGTTAAACAACGCCTATATAAATATTATTTTCACAATTGTGTTTGAAGAACATCATGTAATTAAAATTAACATACATTCATTGACTGCTTGTATTTTTTTTACTTTTTCGCTGGCGATATAATCTCATTTTTTGAGCAGCTATAAAATCTGTCTTGCCTAAAAAATATTTTCCATTCTAATAACTTCAAAGATTTATAGAAACTACGAATAATATAGAGATAATTTCTAATCAATAAACTTACGTTTAGTACACGCCACAAATGTTCAATTTGTTTCACTATTTTCAAGGAACAGGGTAAAATATTCTTCTGATTCAGGAATTTTAGAGGCCTGTGAAAAGCGGTTTAATTAAAAAATTGATTAAACTTTGCATTTAACAGAGCGCGCTATAGATAGTTTGCAACGTTCACGCTGAGAATAGTCCTGATGTTTTTTTTTTTATTAACAAATTTATATTTTCTATTGGAATTATAAATAAATTTGGAGACAGGACTGGCGAAGATGTGATTGATGATTACGAAATTGAAATGTATTCTGAGTGGATCTCTTATTTGGTCCAGATATGTCAAACTTAAATAAATATGTTTAGCATTGTCTTTTTCTTGATGTAGGATCAATTGATTTATTTTATGCAGCTTTCGGGTCATGATTACAACTTTTAAAATAATTTGATATGACAGATTTTGAGTTTGATGCCCTTTCTAAAAAAATATTTTATATTTTGAAAAATGTTTGTATTTCTATTTACATTTTTAGTTCGAAAAAAGTTTTTCTATTCTGGCAGGTAAATTATTGAACAATCTTGTTTATCAGTTTTCAAACAGGTGCGTCATTGCACGATAATATTATCATTTACAAGCTCAAGCTTAATTTTTAACATATAAATATACAATTTTAGTTATCAGAGGTTTTAATGGAACCCTATTATAGGTAGTTAAACAGCTTTTAACTATTAGATTCCATAAATCTGACAATATATATCCTACAATAACAATTAACAAAAAATACAGAAAAAAATACTTAAAAAGATATGAATATTTTATTTTATGCTTTCACAACTTCAACTTCAAATTGAATGAATATGATGGGATAGGATGAATATTAGATTGTAAACTTTCTCAAAATCGACTAATTTATTGAAATTATACTTTTTACAAAATGCAAGATTTTTTGCAATTATACTTTGCATTACATTCATATTTTACTAAATCTATTCTACAAATAAGCATGTTTTATTGGAATTTAAAATGTATGAATACTCAATATATTTTTTAAAAATATTACATTTCTTATTTAATATAATATTATTTTCTATTTTCAGATCGCGAGTCTTCGAAAACAAAATGCAGAATGTAAAAAAGAAGCTGAAAAAAAGTCTGGATTGGCGGTGAGTGAAAATTTTCAAATTAGATTTTGGTTTTTAATACATATATTTTTCGAGCATTTTTGAAAATTGAGTTTATCGAACGATTTTTACGAGTCCGTGACTCATAACTAATAAAAATGAGCTGGTGATCTTATTTTCAAAAAAATCTATTTTAGTTATTCATAAATTAATTTTAAGGGATTAGTCTTTATTTTAAAACTGATATTCTGTCTTATCCATGGAATCAATAGTCTGCTGGAAAACTTCACTTAAAAAAAATCGAAAAATAATATAGAGTAATCTTTAATAAACATTTTCATGAAAGAGGAAAATTAGAAAATATTTGATAAGTTTGTGAATAAAACCGACGTCATGTTGCTCTTGGCTCGGTCAAAAGGACTTTACCTTTGCAACCACAAGGTTTCACATTTTTGCACAGGCAACCTGATATCAAGCAGTAGTGATATCAGTTTTTGCTTAAAAATATATATTCATATATAATTTGAACTTGAAATAGCTTTTTGGGTAAATACCAAACCGTTAAACTTTTTACAAACCTTATCTGTGTAACTGTATGTCAACCCTTGCATTTAGTCCTTTTGCACCCGCTTTTGGTATTCCCTATTTTCTACTAAAAAGATAAAAACGTCCTCATAGGGGTATGTTATCAGTTTGTGAAAGTAACATCATTATTTGACTGCATAATAAGGTAAACAATTACAGCTGCATTTGAAAGTATCTTCCTGGTAAAATAATATTGTTTTAGTGGCAGATTTCTAAGTTATACCAGACATGGTGTAGTAAATAGGGATGATAATTATGTGCTAAATATTATAGAACTAAATATTATATATAGAAAAATGACACTGGGCTTCCTCCTGGTCCTGGTTTAAGAGGTTTTAACAACCTGATATCAAGCTTGAAAATAAAAAGCTAAAAATAGAAAATTGGCCTTCAGAAAATATAATATGTCATAATTTTGTTTACCAGACATGATGTGGTAAATAGGGATGATCTTGAGGATAACTTTGTTCTAAATATTGTTACTTAATAAATGGCACTGGTCTTACTTCTTGTTTTGGTTTAAGAGGTTTGAACAACCTAGTATCAAGCTTGAAAATAAAAATCTAAAAACTGAAAATTGGCGTTTAAAAATGTATCGTGTCATAATTTTGTTTACTAGACATAGTAGAATAGAGATCATCCTGAAGTCAACTATGTGCTAAATGTTTTTACTAAACAAATGACATTGGACTTCTTCTTGGCTCAGGGGTTTGGACAACCTGATATCAAGCCGTAGTAGTATCTAGAAAGTGAAAATTGGCCTTGTCCGGCTGCACTAGATTAAAACTATATCGTGCCATAATTTTGTTTACCAGGATGATCCTGAGTACAATTTTGTGCTAAATATTTTTACTGGATAACTGACTCTGGGCTTTTTCCTGGTCCTGGTATAAGAGGTTTGGACAACCTCATATCAAGCTGTAGTGATATCTAAAAAGTGAAAATGGGCCTTATTCGGCTGCACCAGATTAAAAATATATCAACGTTTTTAGAGAAACTTTAGTGCTATAGTTTTTTTTACATAGCTGTGAATCTGTGCCATGGAGTTAAGAAAGCTCACCCCTTAAATTTTATTTGAGTTGACTGAAAAAAAATGATTAACAGTAAACAATTGACATTATTTTTATTTGTTAGACAATCCTGATACTTTGTCATCCAAAATAGAACCCTATTTATATTGCCAAGCTCCATTACTCTTTTAGTAAGACCTTAACAGAAATCTTTTAATTAATATTATTGTTGTCTACTAATTATGGATTTGTCGTTAATGATTCAATTACTATTAATTAGTTTTTCAATTAATTATCATATCGATTTTAATCGAACCATATTTTTAGGACTACAGGGTAGTTGTTATCAGAATTAGGTTTATATTGAATATGCGCATGACCAAGATAATAGGTGATGTTACTAATATCATATATGAATTATATATATATATATATATATATATATATATATATATATATATATGTAAATGGACATGCGTTTATTAAAATTAATCATATCTATGTTACTATAAGAGTCATTCTTTATAAATTGTTTGGCATTGTCATGTTAGTGTTTGGTCGGAAAACATTATTTTTTTTTGAAACTATATGTAAAATATTTACATATTTATGGAAAGTTATAGTATGATTAATTTGTGCATATTAATCGATACTTTGGGGTAAGTTATATAGTTTTTAAATTCAAGTGAATTTACGTAAATTGTTTTTGCTTATTTACTTAGGTATCAAATGTTGCTCTTGCTTTTTCAAATTTTTGTAATCTTAATTATACAATGAATCCGTCGTGTTTAGCGGTTAAAAACGTGGGTTAGCACAAAATAGTCTTGAAATCGATTCCAATCGCGGCTGGCTCGATATCAAGCAGTATGATATCAAATATATTCTCAAGTGAAAATCGCATTTTGTGGGCATTGATGCAACATATATATGCCAACACTTTTAGATATTCATATCTAATATATACCTATAGTCTACACATAGAAAGAAAAGAGGTTGACCACTGGGTTGCCCTCTCGAGAAAAGTACTTGGTTAAGATATAGCATCCGTAGCTCCTAGAACACATAGTTCTAATTGAAGTTAAAAAATTTTTAGGTGGTGCCTGTTATCCATTTTTTTTCTGTTTTTTTTTTATTTTTCTATAACTTGCTAAGTGGTGATGAGATATTAAAAGTTCTATCTCAGATTAATTTTGTTCTTTTCTGTTATTGAAACTATGCAATTCTGAAATGATTTTTGAAATTGTATTTATTAAATTTTTCGAGAAAATTTCATATCACCCACATTATTTTCTCTATCCAATATTTCAATAAGGTTTTTTTTGGATATATTTTTCATTTTGTTGATTCCTTTACCTGATCTATTTCAACGATAAATAATGTAGGCCAAAGTGTTGTATTATTAACCGTATATTTGCACAGCAACAATTACGAGATATTTACATTATCAGTCATAATTATATTTAATAATAATTGCAAATGCATTTGCATTCACGTATGCAAATACAAATTATTATTTTTAAATAACAATTCGCATCGGACGAGCATCGACGAGTGTTTTGTACGAAATTTTAAGGAAAAATATTTAGGGTAGACCGGGGAAAATAGGTGGAATTATATATCTTTTATATACTTTTACATCATTTGGATTCTATATTATTTTGTACGAATTTCTGTTCTTATTTCCTAAAATCGAAGAATCCTGAGTCTAATTCCAAGTCTAAAGAAATTTTAATCCGGGGTTTTTTATTTAAATAATAAATTTTTGGGGTTGAATATCTCATTTAAATTTTTCTCCAAATATATTCAAAAATACTCTGAGCTATTATGAATGAAATTATGAAAACATTTTACAATTTATAAACAGTTTTAATACAGTTGAATGCAGTCTAATTAGTAGACTAAAAAGTATATTGAAAATCTGGGCTTTGGGATCGCTTTATTTTGAGTTAGTATCAGTTTAGTATCAAAGAAGTATTTAACATTGATTTTATGACATTATCTATTTATTTCGATTTTTATGATGAAAAATTTACAAAATTTGTATTTTGATAAAATATTTGATGTAGCAGAAACAATTTTGTTTTTGCTTATTAGTAGTCTATTCATTTTGTTTATCTAATATATATCTCAAATATATAAGAATATATACGAATAATATTCATATTTTTTCATTTCATTCAGAATTTTAAAGATGATCTGATTTATACCGACTCACTCTAAATACATATATTTGTGTCATGTTTATTTATCGTTCATTGGAGAAATTCCGTTATAAGTAAAATACACTTTTTGCAAATAGAAATGCAAAACTTTTTACCAGTAAAAGTGAATTTTTAAAATGACTTTTCCTAAAAATTTTGTGTCGCTATTTTTTACATATAGAAATATTTGTAATATTTCTAATAAAGAAATTTGCGACCTGTAGAGTTTTTCGTTTCGGAAAAGGCGTTTTACTGATTTATTATACTAATTCAATTCGACAGAGATAATTAAATACAATATTTCATTAAAAAGTATCTGTAATAATAATGTAAGATTTATTTTAAAAATATTGCAAGTTCTATTTAAAATTGCTTCTGAGTGTTTTTAACCAAAATTTTTGTCGGCACTTATTATATGCATTTTTGCTTTCACATTTTGATCTATGTATCTTAGGGTGGTCCTTAATATGGATGTTTTCAAATTTCTTTTGATCCCGACTTGGTGTTCAAATTGGTGTTCAAATGCTTCCAAAATGATAAAAGTAAAATCTCTGAAAGTTTTAGCTCTTAATATTAACTTTAAGATAGTCCGCACTCCAAGCAAAATTTGTTATGGAAAAAACTTGGGTAAAATTCCTATAGACAAGTCTCACAACTTGAGATGAAATTTGTAAATTAACTGTTATGAATTGCTATTCTATATTTTTCTTCATTCAAAAGCGCTTTATAAATAAACACAAGATAAAAGTAATAATTTCAATTTTACCAATCTTTGTATATATTGATCTAATTGTATTGGCTTATACATATATGTTGCAGCAATGCCCATGTGAAATGATTTTCACTTTTCATTTTTATTTTCATTCGATATCATACTGCTTGATATGGCCCAGGCAAATATCGAACCTGAAACTTTCTGCTTGGGAAGCAAATGCTGTTAGGGGCGTCTATTAATCACGTGATCGATCTTTTTAGGGATTTTTTGGACCTGTCCACCATTTTGGTGATACGTCGTGATATTCAAAATTACCTCCCATTCCCACCTAACAAAAAACGAAAAAATCTTTTTTTGAAAATTTAGATGCAAAAATAAATACACGTGATATCTACTAGATTCCTTCCTCACCCATGTGATGATCTATCAATCCCCCTCCCCTTCCCCTAAAATCCTCACGAGGAAGCCTAATATTTAAAATTTGATCAGATTAGAAATATATGTGTAATGATGAATAAGCTATTTTATTTG